CCCCGAGAGCTGTCTGCAAAGACACAATAAATGAGAACTTTTAATTAACACCTCCCTTAACTAAATAAATTAATTTTATGCAGTTGTGATGTCAGCAATGTGACTTGCCAATGACTGAAGCCACTCCAACAGACTTGGCAAGGGCTGCAGGGCAGGCTCAACAGGGCATTAAGCTCTGCGGGGTGCCAGTGCTCAGCAGGGCATGGGCATGAGTGCCAGGCTAGCCTGGAGATGGCATCCCAGGCAGGACAGCCAGGCGGCTGCATGGTGGAGTTCCAGAGGGGCAGTCTAGGGACCCAGCGCCTTTCCCGGCTTTGCCTCTACCTTCTGAGTGGCATCAGGCAAGCTTCTTCCCAGGCCTCTGTTTTCCTCATCTGTGACACAGGTATCCTCCCTTGTCATGCCTGCTTCTCAGGGCTGTGGAGAAGATGAGAAGACACGGGATGGGAAAGGGGTTATAAACTATAGAATGCCGTGAAAGTGTGAGAAATGCTGATGACACCATCCTCCAGCTGCCAGTCAGTGCTAGCCAGGTAATTCTGTTCTTCCCCCAACAACACACGGACAGGGTGAAATGGCCCCTGGGTCCCTGGGCAGCCCTGAGCTTCCCCAAGGACACCTTGGGGACAGGAGGATTTCTTCAAGGCCATCACCCTCAGAAAGCCTTGGGTATCCATCCATTCAGCTGATGTGCTTAGAGTAAATGAGGCCAGGACAGCAGAGTCATTCCCAGTGCTCCTATTGGACAGAATCTGCATGGCCCCAGACTGACCCTAGCCCTGATCTAGAGAGACCTCTGGTCTAGCCCTGAGTTGAAGTCCTGAAGCCACCCCCAGCTCTGCCCAGCCCTGACCAACTTCTTCATTTGGGATCCATGTGAGCCCCCAGCCATTGCCTGAGCCAGCCCCTGACCTCAACCCCTGGCTAAGCCCCAACCCAGCCCTCCCTGTCACCCTTCAGTTCCAATGCCAGTCCACATGTCCCCACTCCAACCAAGCCTAGGACAGTCCCCTCCTCTCTATCAGGACGATACTATGCTCCAACCCACATCAGCCTTGCCCTGGGAAAAAGAGAGATGCCCCAGTGTCCCTAGCAATTTTCACTGCAGGCAGCTTCCACAAACAGCAGTGCCCTCCTGCCCACACTATCCCCTCAACACGTGCCTGTCATTAGCCATTCTTCCCAATTGGCACATTTCTAGGCATCTGCACACAGAAACATCTGGCAACTCACCAAAAGTCACACAGCACAGCTGTGGCTGGGCAAGGACTGAGATGGCCACCAAGAGATTCCTAATTCACTTAGCCATTCAGTCACTCAACAAACACGCACTGAGTACGCACATCAATGCCAGGCCCTTGGGGGTCAGTTCTTGGCAAAACAGACATGGCTCCTTCTTCAAGGGGCTCACAGGCTGAGCAAAGATGAGACTTGTTCTCTGTAACTGCACCAAATGTCTTGCAGTTGCTGCCTCATTCCCTCCCCAACACTCACACACACACACACACACACACACACACACACACACACACACACTCCACCTTCCAGGCTGGCAAAGCATAATTACACACACCTGAAATTAGCTGTAATTGGCATGGGGGTGGGTGGAGGGAAGCCCAGGACCTCTCTGTCCATCTGTGATGCTTCCAGGAAAGAGGCCCTTGTTGGTGGCCGTGGGAACATACAGTGCTGCATCAGTAATTGGGTCCATGTGGGCAGGGGATGAGCAATGATGTCCCTGTGTCCCCAAGTACACAGGCTGACTTGCAGTGACCCTGCCTAGAGCCCACATCTCCACAGCCGTGATGGAGCAGCAGGCAGTAGCCAATGGGCTGAGGCCCCAGGAGACCTGTCCACCAGGCTCTCCCACACGGGGGAGCTCTGGACTGGGGCAGGATGTCAGAGAGGCTGACAACGGAAGCCCGGGGGCTGTCCCCAGCTTCTAACATCAGCAGGTCATAGAACTTCCTGCCTCAGCTTCTTGAAATCATGGCAGGCTTAACCTCAGGCACCCCTTCCATTGTTTCCCTCTCCATCTGGCTCTCCCAGCTTCTTAGAAGCCTCCTCAACTCCTGGCCACTTCTGCAGAGGAGGCGCGAGGAGGTGGCGGAGCTGAGCTCCAGCCCCCATGCTGCAGGAGCGGCTGTGTGACCTTGGGCAGGTCACCCAGCCTCATGTACCTCAGTGTCTCATCTAAGAAATGAGGCTGTGGGAGCCCTTTCCACGGGTGACTTGCAGACTGCCACTGTGCTTGGATCAGGGCTGGGGACACAGAGGGTACCCAGCGATGGGAGTTCCTTCATCTTCCCTCACCTGCCACAGGGCCGGTCTCCCCCAGCCCCAAAGCAGTGCCCCAAGTGGGAAGTGCCTTGGGGGCACCTACTGCTCCTTTTCTCACCACCCCGCCACAGCCTCCTCTTGGGGTGGTCTTCAACTTCTGCTTCCCCTCCCCCACGCCATGACATCTGCCTCCTGCTCCTCACCCCTCACACAGAGCTCTCCTGATGCCTCTAGGCCTCCAGTGCCTCCACTCACAAGGAACGGAAATGGTACAGCCCTAATCTGTGTTCCTTCTCCTGGGGGTCCATATTTTGGAAGCTGGGACTGTTGACCTAAACGTATGCAAAGGAATGACTTCCTAATGATGGAATTATGATATTGGGCATATTGGTAGGAGGGAGCTTTGAGGATGAGAGCCTTCTTAACGCCCCTCCAATCACACCGCATGGCTCTCCTTTAGGGTAAGTGTCTTTCTACACAGAGATCAGTGGATCTAGAAAAAAGCCACCAGCCCTGAACACACTTTGGAATCCACAGCCTGCTCTTGGATGGGAGGGTTCAGCCACAGCAGCCAGGATAGCTGCTGCTTTAAGAATAACTCCTGAGCCCAGAGAAGCGTGGAGTGGAGGGGATTGATTTTTGGGTCCTCCTGGAAACTAGAATTCAAAATCAATCTGGCAATTAATAGGCAAGGTGTGAAGTGGCTCCAGTTTCAGGCCCCCAGTGTCCCCGCTCGTCCTCCCTAGAGAAGGGTCCCTGCTGCCTCTGTGCTCCCTCCTACCCACCTCGTGCTGGGGCTCTGCTGACAGCTCCTGAGGAGTCCAGCTGGCTGGCCCTTTTCCAGGGCCTTGTCACCTGGACAGGGCCACAGGATAAGCCTGGCCAGCTGACAGGGCTGGGAGGAGGAAGCAGGCTGCCTGGGTTACCCCCAAGGGAAGGGAAAGCCACTAGGGGCCCTTTCAAGCCCCTCTGTCTCCACCCCTACATCACAGGTGAGAAGCAGGACATGGCAGGGGCTCCTAGGGACTCTAAATTTCCAGAGGGCCAGCACTGTAGGGGCAAATAGCTGTCCATCCTATGTCCTCCATCTACTCTGCGAACCGGGCCTGGTGGTCAGGCCCTCACCCATTGCACAGACAGGCTGTTTGAGCTCCTAAGAATGTGTTCATCCAAGTGCCAAGCAGGCGGAATGGCCCCAGATGCTCAGACAGAACTGGGTATGGGCTATGAGCCTCTGAGAGAAGGCTTCCTGGAGAGGTGGGGACTTGGCTGAGTGCTTGGGGTAAAACCCAGAAAGGCAAAAAGAAGAAAAGTGGCATGCCCAGTGAGGGATGAGTATCTGTCGAGGTCAGTGGGTAGGATAAGCAGGTCACAGCTCAATGCATGACAGTGGGGGGATAGAATGGCCCAGCTAAAGGACTGGAGCACAGTAGCCTTCAATATGTGGGCAGCTGATGTCACCAGCATGCCATCAGCCAACTCCTGTTCACTCTGCATGGCATGCAGGGGTCACCCCAGACCCACTGATCTACACTTCTTCCATGTTCTCCAAGAGGCCCCTCTCTCCAGCCAATTGGCCAGCTGTCAATAGCTACATTTACAATCTCCATTGCCCAAATTTCTTTTCCTCATTTTTCTTGCTAAAAGACAGTCTTTAAAAATGAGTCCCTGAGCTCAGCCCTTTTCCAGCCTCGTTAATTTCATGCCCCACCTCATTTGTTCCAAGGACCTACTTTCCCCTCGCCCGCTGCCGCCTTCCTCCCGCCAGCTATATTCGGATCTTTGCTCCGTCCTCCGTAACCTTGTGTGCTGATCAGAGTTCTGCGGGTATTTTTCTCTGCCAAGGAACTCTGGACTCAAAGGAACCACAGAGGTCGTCTCTTCACATCCAACCCCCTCCTCATGCCTGAAACTGGAATCCCTTTTCCAGCCCAAGGTTATCTGGTCTCAGATGCATTCCGGCAAGGGCAGGCTGCTGCTCACTGCAGGGCAGCTTTAACTGAGACCAACTTTTTCCAGGAAGGCGGAACCGATCTGCCACAGATTGCCGTTTCCTCTGTGTGTTTTTTCTGAGTCAAGTCTCCCAGACAATACTGTCAGCCCCCAGGCCCCAGGAACAGGGCTCATCCATCCATTTCTTGGGAATCCTTTGGACTCAACGTCCTTTGGTTACCTTGCCTGTGCAAGACACGTGACAAAGCACCATCCCTTGCTCACACTGTTACTGGTACTGGGACACTCCCTCCCATCCCTGTGTCTCCAGCAGCTACGGGTAAGATTGGTAACCCAGAAACTTCTCCTCATTTCAGCTGAAAGTCACTTCTTGGCCCTCCCCACCCTCTGGAGCTAGCTCTGCCTTCAAAGAATCACCTGGAGCAAGTGGAATTCTTCCCCTAGACAGACCTTCCGATCCTTGAGAACTCCATCACGTTCCTTCCAAGGCCTGCCCTGGTCTGGCCTGGCTCTGCGGCCCAGGCACCTCCCACTCCTCTCCAGAAGACACAGGGAAATTCACCAACATTTATCCAAGGTCGGGTCCCCCACTCGGACTGAGGCCTGAGCACAGCCAGGTCAATAGTGATGTCAGCAGTGACTGCCACACAAGCCTGCACAGGGCCTCTGCAGATGTTGCGTACACTGTTAGCTCATGTGAATCAACAAATGTTCCCAGGTAGATTTTGCACAAACTTCCCTCAAGTTGAGCCATCAGCCCTTCATACCCAGCTGGCAGACTTAACATTTCTCTCTGCTGAATCCCATTTCTTCATTTCACTCAGGTGTCCCAGCCTGCAGAAATTATTTGGGGAAACTGTTGAGGCTTCTCTTGGGTGGACCATCCCTCACAGCCTGGTGACATGCCCTGATGGGATCATCAGAGGCTGTCTCCAGCAGGGTAAGTGTGAGGAAAGAACCCTGCAGCCCCTGGAAACATACTGTCACCCCAATGCCACCCTACCACCTTAGCTTGCCAGGGGAAGGAGTTTACTGCAGTTCCGCAATTGCATAAACTGGTTTGGTGGAGCGGGGTTTGGGAGGTTGGCAAACAGGGATCCCAGCCCCTCAGCACAGCACCAAGTGAGCCAAGGCCTCTAAGTCTGATCCCAACCTGCTTCTGCCCACAGGTCCAGCAGGAGGTGCTGGGAGCCCAGGAAGCAGGTGGAAAAGTTGGGGGCATGGGCAACTTTGAGGGTACAGAGAGGCTACGAGGGACCAAGGTCTGGAGGATCAACTCTTCCTGGCTCCCAGGGAGAAATACCCCCAAATGAGTGCCCAGACCTCAAGAGAAGCTGTCTCTCCAACTCCCTCTGGTTCTTGCTGAGTGCAGGCCCCACCCACTCCTGATTAGAATGGAGGCAGTGGATGACCCTCATAGATGACAGGCAGAAGCCCCCCAAATACCCCACAGAAAGCAAGGGCCTGGGACTCAAAACATGCCCCTGTTTTCAGCAGCCATTTCCCCTGAGACTTACCCAACACCCCAAACTGCAACAACATCCTTCGACCCCCGACACTGTCCCTCATTTTCTGGAAGCAGGGCAACAGGAGCCCCCTGAGGAATGGGCTGCTGGATCCTCAGATCGATTTGGGATCTCTCAGTAGGGCCTCACCCAGGACTTCACCTCACTCTCCTGCCCACCTGCAGATGCCAGATGTCTCCCATCAGCCACGGGCTCCTTCGGGCCAAGGCTCCCAGTTAAAGGGAGATGCTGCGCAAGGGCAGGTCAACCTGCAGAGCCCAGGCCTAGCAAAGCCAACAGGCTACTCCACAAAGACCCTGCCTCTCAGGGACAGACTCATTCAAGATCCACCGTCTCCCAGCAACTATGCAGGGTCGTCTCTGTTCTGGGGCTTCCTTGAGGGAGAATCCCTGGGCCTGCATCCTGGACGGGCACCCAGGTCACACCCTCGCTTCTGTGCTGGTGCATGATGAAGGCGTGATCATTCCTTTCCCTCCCCAGCCCCACCCATCAACAAATAGGCACTTGGCTAAACATGACCCTTCATTTCATTCTCCATGACCCTGGGAGGCAGGAGCAGAGCAGAATCGTTATCCCCAGTTTACAGATAAGGAAATAGGATCAGAGAGGGAAGCAACCTGTGGTCACCCAGAGAGAAAGTGGACAGCCCAAACACCAAACAGGGTTGTCTAAATCCCAGGAGGGTGGCCTCCAATATCCTGGTCTGGAGAATTGCACCCTCACTCCCATCCCCCTTCCTCTGGCTCTGTCTGAACCATGCTGAGATCAAAGGATTCCCCAGGAGAGGCAGGCATGAGCATCACCACTCACTGTTCTCACTGCTCACCTTGGGCGCACAAAGCATTCAGGTGGCAGGGCCCTCTCTCACTCATGAACATCCAAAGCTATGTCTGCTGTGTGTACAGCCTCACCCCTGCAGTCAGGAGATGCCCCACCACACCATAGAAGCTGCTCTCACCATGGTCACCATCAGCCTCCCAATTGTCACCCTGGACTCTTTCTCAGCTGCCAGCCACCCCCCAACCCCCGCCAACCTTGACTTTGGGACACACAGCCCCATTCCAGCCCTGCTCCTGCTCTTGTCCCAGTCCCAAGTGGCTCTCGCCCAGCTGGCCACTCTGACCCTTGTTCTCCTGCAATGCAAACCTCCTGCAGCTCTGCACCCACGACCCGCAAATCCTTCCTCTCCTCCTCCTCCTCTCCCCTCAGTCGCTCTGATCCATTCACCCCATGCCTTCTGAGACTTCTCTCTAGGTGGACCATTCTTCAGTCCACATTTCTAGCCTTCCCTGAGCTATGAACAGAACATTCACCACACTTTAAAATCCTGCTTCTCTTTCAAGATCGAGTCCCTACTTCTCCTCTTCCAGGAAGCCTCATACAACATCCCCATGTACTGCCATGTCACTCAAGGTGCCATGTACCCTTCTAGCTAGATGGTCCTGCCCACACCTGCCAGATGACACTGACTGGATGGGGAAATGACCCTCCATGGGCAGCCAGGCCCATCATGTGAACTGGCATCAAGGGCTCTGCCCCATGGTCAGTAGACTGTCAGCTAGGGCTGTGGACAAAACTAGAGCAAGAGGGCCGGGCACAGAGGCTTACACCTGTAATCCCAGCACTTTGGGAGGCTGAAGTGGGAAGATGGCTGAAGAACAGGAGCTCCAGACCAGCCTGGGCAACATAGTGAGACCCCATCTCTACAGAAAGAAGAGCTGGAGCAAGAGGCCAGAAGAGAAGGGCGGAGGACGCAGCAGACAAGCAGAAGGGGAGTCAGAGACCCTGGAGGTGGGGCAGGAAGGAGGCAGAGAGGCTGCGGGGAGGAGTCCAGAGTCCTGGCTCCACCTCTCCTCCCAATAAACCTCCTTATCTTAAGGCCACCTGGATGAACCTCTGGCCTCGCTGAGTAAAGGGTTCCAGCGCCCCAAGCAGATGAGCATCCTTCCTCCTGCCAGCTCCTCCGCAAACACACAACCCTCAGGGTTTCCCCCACCACTGCCCAGGCCCTCTGTGGGAGGAGAGAGCTCGGGAGGCTGGCAGCCTGAGACCCCAGCAACCTGGAAGGCCATGCTGTACAGGCCTTCATGGGGTCATCATTGCCCAGCGCCAGGCCCATCAGGGTTAGCTGCTGTGGCCCAGAATCCAGGCTCCTCTTCCGGGGGCCCCTCCCACCTCACACCCAAGTGCACACAGGAGTCCAGGCAGGTGAGGCCCAGTCACGGCTGGGAGTGAGGCTGCAGATCTCTCTGGCACTTTGGGGCAGGAAAAAGCCCAAGAAGCGTGGCCTGGCCAGCCTCCATGGTTGACAAAGAAGGAAATTGAGGACCAGGGAGGGTGGCTGAGGCCAAGGGTGGTCGGGCGGGGCCAGCAGGCACAGCTCTGGCTCCTGAAGGAGGCTCTGCTCTTTCTCGTGCATCTCACAGCCTTTCTGGGGAGATCTAGTTTCCTTCCCAGTTTCTACGCGACCTTGGGCCAGTCACCTTCGCTCTCCCCACTTCATTTCCTCCTGCATTTTAGAGAGGCCTAAAGCTCGGCATAGGGAAGGTAGAGTTGTGAGAGCTGAGCCGCTGCCCGGAACCAAGCTGTGGTAGGGTCACAGGGCCAGATGACCTTTCAGGCCCTGCCAGATGACCGGCACCCTGGAGGGCTGGGCAGAGGGAGACCAGAGCCAGGGGCCTGGACCGAGCGATCCGCTCGGACTCCTCGAGTACAGAGAGGGCTTGGGTGCCCAGCTGGCCCCTGCCCTGCCCATCCCGCAGGTGCTCCCAAGCAAGTCTCTCCGGCAATTTTTCTTCTTAACACACGATCTCCACTGTCACTCAATCACTTTTCCTCCCAGGTAGTTCTGGGGCTGGGGGTACATGTGAATGTGTGAGCGTGTGAAGGTGTATGGGGCGTATGAAGGTGTGTATGTGGGGGGTGGAAGCAGGGACTATGTGAAGATGGGGTGTCTGAAGAGGTGGGGTGTTTGGAGGTGTGTGTGCATGTGTGGGTGCAAGTGTGCATACTCGGGCATGGCAGCCATGAGGGAATCTGTAGATGGCTCAGGGTGCATGTGAGGAGGAGCGAGGCTGGGAGCGCAGCCCCTGGAGAGCTGGGTACCACCTAGCCCTGTGAGCAGGTTTCATGGTAAGACTCAGCGCCTGCATCCATCCGAGGTGCCAGCACTGCAGGGCCTGCCGCCCAAGCCACAGCAATTGGCAGGTATGACACCAGGCTCATCGCTGGTCTGCCCAGGTCAGTGGGGTGTCAGGACAGGGCGCCAGCTCCCTGGTTCCTGGACTGAGGCTACCCCTGCCCTGTGCCATCTGCTCCACACCCCAGGCTCTGCTAGTTACAGGCAGCACCAGAACTGAAGCTCAGCTATGGTGAACTTTGGGACCCTCGTCCAGCCACCCTCTGAGGACTGAGGCCTGAAGGTGCAGCTCTGTGTGTGCCCTCCATGGAGCCATGAGCAGGCAGAGGCTCTTGCCTGAGCCCACTCCTCCTGCCAGCCCTCTCCCCACCAGGCACAGCAAGCTGGGTGGGAGTGACAGAGGGTGCCTGGCTAGGGTCAGACAGACAGCAGGGGCAGGCAACACACAGGAAACTGGCATGAGTAGGCTTCTCAATCCCCAGCCTGCCTGCTGGAGAAAGAGGGAGGAAACTCCCAATTTTCCTCTCCCCACACACGCATGTGCAGCAAGAAAGAGGCTGGGAAGGTGGCCTCAGGCCAGGGAAAAGAGAGTTGGGACTGGAGCACCTGTGTCAGGCTGTTAGGTCTCCGCGGGGGCGCCCTCTCCAGCCACCTATCCCACATGGTCCCACTTCACAGAAAGAGAAAGAGAGGCCTAGGGAAGGCAAGTGAGGGGGCCTCTAGGTGGCCCAGCCTGTCATTAGCAAGCATTTCTGGCGCAGGGGGCTCAGTGTTTGCCCGTCCCAGCAAGGCAGCCTCCATTATTCCTGGCTTAGGGGCAGAAAGGGGAGAGGCAGAGTGGATGCAGGGAGGCCCAACGGCATTTCTGCCAACCCAGCCATGCTAGGTTGGGAGGGGTGGATTCCCACAAGACATGTTTTCATAGGGTGACCAATTTGTTCCCATTTGCCCAAGACATTCCTGGCTTTAGCACGGAGTGTCCCACACCCCTGGAAACCCTTTAGTGCCAGGCAAACTGAGACAGTTGGTCGCCCTACTCTTTAACCTCCTGGTGGCCCTCCCAGTGGCTTCCATATATGGCGGGGCCAGGGTGGAACCAAAGAGCTGGAGGGGAAGAGTCTCAGAGGCCATCAGCCTTACCGCCACGCCCCTCAGCTCACCGTCACTGGCCTCTGCTCGAATGCCCACAGCTCCTCGTAGCTCCGCACCACACCAGACAGCCTGTTTCACT